AAAAATATCGAATGTCTATAGAAATTAATCGATATATTCTCAAATATTCTTAATAGTACGAAATATTCTTTTATCTTGAAATATTCTCAAATATGCTAAAAAAACTTTTGCCATTAATTAACCGGCTTCRTGATTTGTAAAGATTTCGAACCCCCGTCTGACTGCATAGCCTCAAAAAAAATATGCAAAAGAATATAATTCCGGCCCCTAACCATAAATAATTCATACCTAGTTGTTTTTTTTATTAAATACCTATAATAAGATTTTAAAACTAAATAATAATTAATAATACAAAACTTATATTTAAAAGATGTTGTCTACCAAAAATATTGAATGCAGAGAATTAAAATATTGTATGTCACAATTTTAAAATTATTGTAGGTTGTGCATAGTATTGTTATTTAATTAACAAAGTATGCACTTTATCTAAAATACAATATTACTCCATAACTTAGTTACATTAAGATAATTGAAAACTTTTTGTAAAAATAAAATGTAGGTACCGAATAAAATTTATAGAAATGATTTATTACCAATATATTATATTAAAAGAAACTTAAACATTTAGTACTGCTGTACTGGACACAGGTTAATAAAATAATAAGTTAAATTATAAATAATACATATTATTATTATCATTGAAATGAATATAGGTAATTATTAAGCAATTTAATAATTGGAACAAACCATACAGTTTTATTTATTTTTTTTATTTGTTTAATTGAACATTAAAAAAACAACTATTTAAATTTTATAAATATTATATTGATCAATAATAAGTAATTAGTAATTATTTATTGACATTTATTATAAATGTAATAGGAACTTATAAATTTAATTATGCTGGTAAATCGATTCAACAAATACAAATACAAATAAAATAATATAAACATAATATTTTAAAAATGCAAAGTTTTAAACTAGTACTTACCTATAACAAAAATTAAATTGTTTGATGTTTTATATTATCAATAAACTATATAATATATTGGACTTAACTACTTAAGTTTCATCTTAGAAGTAATAGCAATAAACCTTAACAGCTATTACAGGTAGATATTTCTTTTTTTTTTTAATTTTGTGAAAATAGCAAGTCTTGCGCAAGACCAAGATTAAGGTGTATACCCAACACCAAGACCAAGACTGGGTCCGCAAGACAAAGACCAAGACCAAGATTTTGAAGGTCTTGGTCTTGTTTTGATCATCACTACTTTTTAATATATAATAAAAAGCATATGAGGTTGTCTAGATAGTAATCTTACCTTTAAATTTTATAAGAGGTCAGTTCACTCTAATTTTTAAGTTAACGGAGGTACACGTGTTCTGCTGAGCGAAAAATGTACCATGTTACGCATTTGTAAGACGGAGACAACACATGCCACATGCGGGTATCACGGTCCTCTTAATTATTTATACAGATTAGACTATAGTAAAAGTAATTAAAAATGATATGAAATTCATTCATCGAATAAGTTATATTCTTAAAGAATAAATTAGTTAGGTATTCGATGAATAAAATCGATTTAACCTTATCTAAGTTTATTTTATAACAAAGCTTAACTATTTCAATGAAAATAAAAATATTACTTTCGAATTCTTCTCCATCCTCGTTCATAATTATTTTATGATATTCGTCATCATCGTCGCAGCCATTATCATAGTCTGTATAGACATCACTGTAACCATCATTGTTAACCTCGACTGAAGTTTTGTCATTATATTTTAATAATTCATCTCCTATTAATAAGTTGATATCATATATTTCTCCTGATAAATCTTTGACTATAATCACTGAATGACTACTATAGTCTGTCGCATTCAGTATTCTCTCATCTTCGTTTGCATTATAATAATGGTTATCCGTTATTCTGTTTGATATAGTAGTTGTCGGTTTATTATTGTGTTTTAATAATAATAGTTTATTATCACGGTCAAAATGTGATTTGGAACGATTGTTCACTGTTAAAATTGTTCGGTCATCGTCAATGATTAATTGGTTTTTCTTGTTATTACTCGTATTGATACCTGCTTCAAATGAATTGTCATTTTGTAGTTGTTCCGTTGATTTTGATATTTTTTCATTTCCTGTCGATCCATTATTACCATTTTCCACACTTGTGTACTCACCAAGAGTATTAATGTTTCTAAGACTGTCATCATAAAAAATGTTTGACTTCGTCCCAATTTTTATTTTTGTCTTACTTGCATTTGTATCAACTGAACGGCTTACGAGGACAGAATTTGATAACATTTCATTGTTGTTAATAATTTTATCTGCAGCAATTACTGTCATCGATTTGAAACCTATTTTCGATTTTCCATTCGTTTTTCTATTTTGTATTGCTTTTTCAGAGTTTTGCAAGGACAAGCTACTTTTAAAAATAGTTTTTGTAGTTTTAATTTTTTTGGGCTTCTGGTTATTTTCACTCTTAATGTTGTCATACTTCTTATTTTTTATTTCCATCTTGGTTATATTCTTACTGCCTGGATGACTTACGAGATCAGAATTCGATAATATTTCATGGTTTTCAATTATTTTCTCTAATTCGTCCTCCGCAGCAATTACGGGTGTAAATTCAAAACTTTTTTTTGATTTTCCATTCGTTTTTATTGTTTTTGTAAATTTACTATAGTTTTGCGAAAGCAAGCTGTTTTTTATAAGTTTCTTTATTTTTGATTTTTCGTTAGTATTAACTTTTTTTGCAGTTTTTGATTTAAGTCTAGTTGTTTTATTTTGAGCTAATTCATTAGTTTTTAAATGTTTTGTTTTAATACCAACTTTATGATTCTCAATTTCGTTAGTTAGGTTTTTAATTAATGGATCTTTATTACTAGTACCTTTAATGCAAATATAGTTTATGGGTTTTTCTAGCCACGGAGATAGCATATTGGCTACAAATATTTGAACCCCTTGTAAAAAATTGTCTGGCGAGTTTAGTAGCACATATTCTTTGGTTACATCATTAATCTTCTTTAGAATCACATGAGCTATTTTTTGTTTCTTTGATATCCGACCACTACAAAGTACTTGGACCATATAATTAAATATCAACGACGATAATGTTCTGAAAAAATCTCCCTTCCAATTAATTGAATCACAGTTTGGATTCAAATCGCTTAGAAAACGACATAAATCTGTTTGAGTGTTTCTGTAGTTGGACCATTTCCTATGAGTATATGTAGGTGATAATTTAAAAATAGGTATGCGTTACCTGAACTCATACTTAGGCAGTGGCGTAAATAGACGAATTCAGGAAGTAAGCGCTCTAACATCTAGGGGCCATACTGTTGACTTAACATGTCAAAAATAAAATAAAAATACAAAAGTCATACTTCCACAGTTCGGCAATTCTAAATCTTTACTAGATACGTCTTTCAGTAATATTATTGTTGGTGCAAGAATTTCCGCAGACTAATTAAATTCATTGCCGGCTACAGTCATGGGTCCATTTAATTTGGGGTTGAGGCTTGCATGGGAGAAAAAACCTCCTCTGTTTTCTTCTTTACCTTCTCTGTCAACTACATGCCAATTGGCGTTAATCAAATTTTTTTATATCTCCTCCATAGTGCTCTGTCTCCTGCAACTCCTGTATTCACACTAGCTATTTTTATGTCATTCTCTAACCACCCTTTCTTTAGTATTTCTTTCTTTTCTTCGATATTAATTTCCATAGCCACATTTAATACCCCCAATCACCCTTCTCATAATTGGACATATGCTTGCTTTCTGTACAATTTCAAAAACTACGAAATCTTCATATAATTTATTTAGAAACAATGTCACTTAATATGAAACTATCATCATTGTTCCTTTTTCTGTCTGATTATGTTTTAAATGTATTTATTTTGTAATTACCAGCTGTATTTATAATAGGTAAAAAAGTATGGGAATAATGACCTTCATAATGAAATTCCCCTGCTCTTGAAATAAATAATAAAGTTGACCAAATTATATAGGAAATTTGTTTTATGGACACTTTGCTCACAACGGCACAATAAACAAGCCACTTTACTCATATTTGTCTATATTATTTTGATTTAACAATTTAAATTTAAATTAATAAAATACTGTAAGGTTATAAAATTGTTTAGTATTTATGCAATTTTAGACTTGATTTTTTCCTATTTGACGGGAATTATTAATCTCATTGGCAGAATTCTGCTATAGATAACTATTGCCTAATAAAACCCTGGATACGCTAGTTCCTGGACAACAGTTAACCCGCCATGGGCGGGTAACACTTAATCGCTTTCGTACAAGACATGGTCGCTCTGGAGAGATGCTACATAAATGGAAAATGAGAGATAACCCAAGCTGTGACTGTGGCCACTCACTACAGTTCATCTCCCATATAATAAGTGACTGCCCACCCCACGCATTTAACGGGACAGTGGAAGAACTTCACAAGCAACCGACAACGCGATCAATTGGATAAGGACACTCGACATCCAACATAAGATTACTTAACTAAATGTCGACATGGAAAAATTACCAATAGCCTTAATTTTAAAGTTTAATAATATTGTCTTATTGTTGTATGAATTATATATATATATATATATATATATATCTAGTTTGTAATGCTTGAATATTATACCATACGATAATAATAATAATTAATCTCATTGATTTTTTTTATTATCACAATATAATAATTTGCTAATAAAGATCCAATGACCTACGAGCAATGGTTAGGGAACTTAGAACGAGTAGTTTTGCCTTAAACAATTAAAATTTGGTGTAAATACAGACCATTCAACCTCCCAATTGAGGAATCTAGTTTAAACTAAATAGAAAACCAGGAAAACGAGCCCCTTTGCACTTCACATCGGAGCCAAAACACTATATTTACGCCACTGCTTTCTAGTATATAACTAATATATTTTTATAATTTAAAGAGTAGTATTTTTATATTCTGCACTTACGGGTTGGAAAAGTTCACTCTTGTGAGTAATATTTTTGATAATATCATTCTTGTGGCTGGAGCTAAACTGTATTCTGCACTTATTAGAAATTGTTTTACAAAACTGTATACAAAAAAAGCTATTTTATATATAAGTATATTAAGATAACTACATACAAAGATTATTTTGTCTAGGCTAATTGTGAAAACATTATTACTTAAAGATATTCAAATATTAAAACAATTCAAAATATTCTGCATGTGAAATATTTGTAACTAATTCATTATGAAAAGTTATATAAAAAGACTACTTGTAGACAAATTAAAAATATGTTGATTCTAATTTATACTTTTTTCAGTATAATTTATTGAATCGTGTGCTAAACCTAAACGTATTATATAACACTTTTTATTTTTATTTTTAATACAATAAATAAGTGGGCAAGAGGGTATCGCTCTGCTGTATAGTAGAGATGGAGAGTAGCTCACTATAATGCATGTGTTAAATTTGAATGCAATGGCAGGTATCATTACACAAAAAACGATTCTAAATGAAGATGATTTGTAAGTCTAGGATATGTTCTATAAACTATATTTAAATTATAATATATTTTTATACGCTCACAAAATGTTTCTACATTGACTGAAGTTTTTTTTTTACAGTTATTTGGTTATTTGAAGAAACAGTTATGAAAAACCTTAGGTATAAATCACAACAATTTTATGAATTTTCAACTCTATAATTCCATGCAAATTTTCGCGATTTTGACATATTTCGTAAAAATTTGAACTTTAAATGCTTATAAACAAAAATAGTGACCAACGATTTTTAGGTATAAGTAAGTACAACTTGTAATAAATCTTGTATTAAATTTTAAAGATTTTTCGGATAACCAAATTTTTTTTATAGACATTTCAATAAAAAAAAACTTAGAAAAATTGAAAATTAAAATTGGCTATAAATAGCTTTAAAAAAATCAAAATTTAATCGTAAATATATAACACTAATATAAATATTTGGTGAAAATTTCTAGTATTTACAATGATTTGTTTTTGAGATACAGCAAAATAAAAAAATCAATTTTGTTGAAAACTGATTGTTTAAAAAAATTTTCGTTACTTTTTATTATTTTTCCTGATACTTTTGAAAACTAGATATTCTAAATTTTTTATTTTTGACCCCCCGACTGGATCAATCAACTGGATGAATTTTTCTTTTCAATGAGCAGTTTGAAGTCAAAAATCAAATCATTATTTCTACTCCATAACGTGATGACAGACACAAAAAAAACATACATTATTCTAAAATTAAAAAATTAATATAGTTTTTTTTTTATACATATGGGTTTTAAGAAAAATTTTGTTTGTAAAACCATTTATCTAAGTAAACGGGTTTATTATTTTGATTCTTTATAATGACAATTTAAAAAAAAATCAATTTGAAAAGTAATAACTCTTTTAAAAAATATTTAGATTTTAGCAAGTACCTCAATTCTCAAAAAATATTTTAAAAAATCTTATATTTTATTAATTAAATACTTTTTTTTGATGACGATCAACATTATATTACACTTATATTAAGATTACAAAATGTAATCTAAGAAATACATTATATGAGTTAAATAAATATTTTTATAATTTATATTACCTGACCGTTCTGAATTTTTCAAAAAAAATTATATTAGATTCATAATTTATTTTTCAGTGTTAAATATAAAAATTTAATGTGCTATGTATACGTTTAGCGTATACATATATGTATATGTAAATATATTAATGAGAACATAGTTATTTTATTTTTCGTGCTATCCTGTACCCTGCTTATTAGTTTAATAAAAGAAAAATAATGATCACGTATCTCCAACAAATGTTACTGATATATACAGTGTGATTTTTTAAGAATGCTAATATGTTTATGGTTAAATTATGCGTATATTAAAGTTCAAATTTTTGAAATTCTTAAATACACTTGAAGGCCATTTTTCGAACCATTGACCTTTTTTGTAACACTAAAGGATGGTTTTGTGACAATACAAAATCCAGTAATTGCTACCAATTTAAAAATTAACATAATTTATTGCTTAAATATTTATTTTATGGAAGTATATCAGCATTTAAAAAAAAAGTTTGCTCGCAGTTACTAGAAAAAATAGTTCTAACTTCAACATACAATTTGTATTTCAGAAGTCAACAGTATTTAATTAACTACATTTAAGGATTTATTTCATAATATTTTTCTACCATCTTTTTAGTGTTTTTAAAATGTTTTAACAAAATTGTATGCATATTATTTGACAACAAATACCTAAGTGGTGAGTCTTGATAACATAGTATGGATTATTTAGTTAGAAAATTCATTTTAAGCAGTACTTACTGAGGCCACATGGACGTATTTACGTTAAAGAATGCGTGTTTTCCTGTCTCACAATGACGGCCGTTTATAGCATGTCTATCTGTTTTCCGACATTTTTTCATAATGAAACTCAAACCGTGCGGCTTCCATCCTTTGGGCGTAGACAGCAATTTCGTATGTTGGGATTGGGACAGACAGCTCCGGTCGACCGCGATAATGCCAGTTCGCCTCATCGACGTGTTTTGTTGTTGACCACGTAATTGATTACAGCTAATACCAACTGGTTATAAATAAATATAGCAAACAAGTGATTAGTTTAACTCTGTTTTTATTTTTTTTTGATCAACGTGAGATATGTGATAATAAATGTGAACATTTACAATTTAACTATATTTAAAATTTTATTTAATCATCTCTGACTAATCTGAATTTATAGTATAAATTATAAACTGTCATTATTTTTAAAACTTTATTTACCATTGTTACTAGGGTGATAAATGTTTAAATACAAAATTTATAGTAATTAGTGAAACTATTTATAACTCTTAATGATTTGTATTTTTTATTAATTATTTTGGGGTTCGAAGACAATATTATTATATTTTATACGAGAATCGTTGATCTATATTCTATATACATAATTGTATATACAATCCCGAATTTTTATCCATATTATAGCGAAATTATCTGATGCCGTTCAATTTATTACTGCCCGTTAAAAATTCCAACTTTATATAATTCAAATTTTTTCAATTTGTTATATTTTTATTTTCGTTATTATAGTATTCAAAAATAAAAATTTTTTTTGGCTATCTCAAATCAAAATATTTTAAAATGCAAATTTTAGAAAATATTTTCTTTGTGCACACTTAGTAATGACTAATGACACAATTATAAATTCTTGTCACGTACAATAAAACGTATTATGTTAGTTTAACATTTTTTTCGTCCCATTTTGTTCGTAATGGCATAGAAATTAGAACCCTCTTGGGTTCCCTAAAACTTGCCACAAAAGTTTCATGGATATCGGATGAATAGTGTAGGAATGCATAAATGATAAAGTAAATAGACATACATTTGCTCTTGTATATTTTATGGTGCAGATGGACTAATCAGTCACTGTAATACAATGCCCGGCCATTGTATAAAATATATAAGATATTTGGGCGAAGGAAATAATACATATTTAATTCCCATATAGACTATACTCTATTCGCCGTAAGTTGACCCACTAGCTCGACGAAACCCGGTCGTAGCTGCGCAGGCCACCGTGTCTTCGGAGCGCTAGTGTTGATTGTTGCCACCGCACCTGGCGTATATCATAGAATACTATAGAACAGTGTTGCCATTTTAGCATTTTCGATGCCAAATTTGGCATTTTTAGAAGTGATTTAGCATTTGATTTTTCAAAACAGCATTTAGTATAATGTTTGGCATTTTGAAACAAATTTAATGTTTTCATATCCTAAAAAATAAGCAGCATCATAAAAAAAAAATGAACTGAGAAAATTATAAACATACTTAAGTTATCAACTTATCAATATATTATACGAGTACCACAGAATAAATTGTTCTGTGCGAGTACCATGGACAAGACGTTATCAATAAGGTACAATGGACAATGGTATGCATAGATTGATAGATTACTCAATGTGGTAATCACGGTTAGGTGGTGGTAATTGTCAATGGTACAGCAAAAACTCGGTTCGGTAACTAGCGTGATAATATAATATATTATATTTAAACCATAACTGATAGCTATAAATAGAATGAACAAAATATAATCAAATTGGTATTAGTATAGTGAAAACTGTATAAATGTATAATATCACTTATCAGTATAGGTAGAAAAGTTTTTAGTTTTTTAAACCATAAACGCAATTTGTAAGTTTGTACTGAGTCCAGAAATCATGTCAAAACACTTAAATATGAATACTTCGGTATTCCAACTGAGTCAAATCCCTGCTCTTCTATACCAAGTACTTGCAACATTTCTGAAAATCTACCCGTTCTTCATATACCTGAAGTTGTTAGTGACTGTTCAAATTCAGATGTTGATTCACCATCTCCTTTGTCAACAATTCAAACCAATGGCAAAAAAAGTGTTAGATTAGGTGAAATTGAAAAGTCAGATGTAGTTGCTAGTTTTAAGATCTGAAGCAATAAAACGTTCTAATTCGAGCAAAGCTGCCAGTAGGCGAAAATGCCTAAAAACCTCGACTAAAGATAAACTTTTGAAATCTGCAAGAATGGAACATGTGTAAGTATAAATATTATGGTTGTTTTTATCAAAATGAACACTGTAATTACAAAATATTATGGTTTGTTGACAATATAATAATACCAAAGAAATTCAATTTTTAACAAATAATACTTAATTAACATTTTTTTTATAGTAATTAATTTCAAATAAAACATTTTTAGTATGCACACTCTAATCAAACCAACTTTTAAGAACCATCACAAAATAATACAGAAAAACAAAAAGCCGACAAAAAAAACATTAGAGCCTACAAAATATCAAAAAAATGATGATCAAACAGACCAACCATTAAGGTAATTTTTCTAAAATAATGTATTCATTTTTTTAATTTTACAAATATTAGTATACATATATATGTAATCAATTTAAGTGTTTGGTATCGAACGAGTATAATTTTTTTTGTCTATTTTTCAGAATAGTTAAAATAAAATAACATTAATGCACTTTATTCATATAACAGGGTTTCATAAGCTTTTTTTTATTTTTTCTAAAAAATGTAAAACAAATGAATAACAAAAGGTTTTATAGACAAATAATTATAGATACTTTAATTCAGTTTTTGTCAGAAATCGTGCAGGATTATGAACTATCAAGGGAACTATAGTAACCTTTCCATCTAAGAAATTTGATGCAAAGAAATATGTTAAATGCAGTCTTAACTATTAGAGCAGGCCTCCGTCGTCTTGGGAAATATTGCAATACTTTTGAAATACCTAAAAAAGTTTTAGATTTGATTGGTACAGGTATAACTTATCGACATTTTAAAAAGTCAGAAAATTCGACGTCTCCTTTTTCTGATGAAGATGTGAACTCAGTTTTTGCTGTAGATTAGAGTCAGTTATCTAAAACGGATCATTTACCTTGTGGTGCACTTGTTTAGTATATTAGCTTTATTTATTCAATATAACTCGTTTTATTATATTTTTAATAATGTAAAATGTTTATAACTATTGTTATGACTTATTAAGTGTTATTTAATAACATTTATTCCTTGAGACAGTTATTCAATATTATTTTTTATATATATTACTTAAATTGCTAAAAGTTGATTTCTATAATTCAAAATTGTACATTTTATGCGAATCCATTATTTAAATAAAATATAAGAGCATATACAATTTTCCTTTGAATGCAGTAGTATGGAGGCTCCTTAAACTGTACATTTTCAGAACTGTTTATTATTGTAGATAATTTAGTGAATGAGAATTATGAGTCAACAATAATTAGCTATATTATGATAAATAATACTAGTACCTATATGTGACAACAGAGTAGGTACCTATACTAAAATCAATAATAGCTTTATTTATTTTATTTTTTTAATTAAATCCATTTTATACCAAATATCCAAATATTGGAAAAGCAAAACAGTAATAACTATTTTTTTTTTTTTTATAATAGTAAACTTGTAGATATATTTTCTGTGAATTAGTGAAGTAGTGTGTATAGCATAACAGGTTGGCTCGAGGACCGAGGGAAGCGAAGGTCAGAGTCGAAAAATTAAAGATAACAAAATAGCATTCTATTACACTATCTGGCATTATTTGAAATTACATAAAGCATAATCATGATTTTTTCATTGGCAACACTGCTATAGAAGTGACACTCACCCCTCCACTTTTATTTTCTTCATTTCGGAGCGACAAGAATGATGTTGTAAGCTTGACGGTAAGGCATGATGTTACGAACACTTATCATCGAAATGCATTGCTCGAGATCAGCCCGCCAATTTTTTATTAAAAAAAAAGGTCAATGCATATTACCACTTAATAAGATTTGTATAACCCCTCTTCCTTGAATTTTTTTTTTTTAGGAGGGCGCACTCAAAATTGTTTGCCAGGAGCGCCACCAATACGCCCCGTCTTTTTATGTTTATGGGTCACACTGTTAACTAAAAATTGTAATTGGTTTTTTTTGTAAACATTGCGAACTGTGGTATTCGATTTCGATGACACATGTCTTGTACTCTGGTCTGAACGGTAGTTTTTTACGCCTTTTGATTAATTACACGTGTTTTTTTGCAATTATTTTTTATCTTGTTTTTGTAATTTTACAAAATGCCGAACATTTGTGTTATTTTCAAAAATAAGGAAGGTCAACACAAAGTAACATTTCATCGTTTTCCTAAATATGAAAACCTGTAAGTATATTTAAATTAGTTGAACCATTATTCGTTACAAATGCAGGTTAACTAATTTAAATAGTTTAGTTTTATTGGAATCTTTATAAAGTAACAGCCTCTGAATTATACTTACCTTTAACCGTGTACATAATGTTATATAAAATTAAAATCTGTAGATTTGAATTTAATCTAGACAAAAACATGAATAATAAATAYATAACTAAAGTAATAAATTTAAAGCAATTCAAGCATATTTTAGTGAAATTTTAGTTAAAAAAGGACATGCATATAATGCTTAGCTAGTTGTAAAAAAAAAATTGTTGTATGTGAAAAGTAAAAATCACCATGTAACAACAATTTAACAAGCAAAACAAGTCAACTAATAAGCTTATAAAAGTAATTAAATTTTTTATTTTAAAGAAAAAAAAAATTAAATAATAAAATCAATATTTCTTTTTTTGCTATTTGCAAAGCGTTCTATTATTTTTTCTTCTGAAATATCAAGCTCTCGATGTATATGCATTAATGCTAAGCCACAAAGTCTATCTTGAGACATCTTTACCTAACCTAACCAAGTCTTAAGCCTGAAGCATTAAAATGTAAATTTTAATGTATACTTACTTATCTTAGAATTTAAAATAAATCATAAAATAATACCTTCTTAAAGTAGAGAAACTGCGTTCTGCAGATGCCACACTTATTGGTAAAGAGGAAATTATAGTCAAAATTAGCTTAATATTTGGAAAAAGTACACATGGACAGTTGGCAATAGAGTCGATAGCATTATTAGGTATATTTAATTTTGGTTCATTATTATATTACCTAAAACAAAGTAACAATTGATTATAATTAGTTAATTGATGGTAAACATAAAATATTCTAATGCTTAATGAATAGGTTAGGTACCTTCAAAAACCCATTTGGACTTCCATAACTCTATCTCAGCTCTAAGAACTTCCTTTTGTATGTTCAAGAATCCAAATTCTACTAATATGTTTTCAGTTAATGATTCTATTTTGGTTGGAGTAAAATCTTTTAAATAGACTGGAATAATACCCATTAAAGTCAAAAACATTTTATTTTTATTATTCTCAAACCGTTATTTCATATCTTCAATGATATTATCAAGTAATGGAATGTTCAAGGACCTCATATAATATTCTTCTGGTGAGTTACTAGGGGGATTTGGCCTTTGATTTTTTCGTTGAGATATTCGTGGTAATTTTGCAACAACATCATGTTTTGTCATTAGTTCTTGTTATGAATTATAAATATAAATAATAACATAAACGTATTATATAGACATTTATTGTTAACAGTATAAATCGTAATGACGT